GAATACTATAGAGAGATGGAGAACAAGCTAGCCCGCTCCAGGGTGTACACTCGGCTCTGCAAACAAGTGACCGCTTCAGTAACGCGACACCTCTCTGCAACTACACTCGGGTCTCCTTCTGAGGGGTGGAAAGGCTTATGCTCTGCTTCAACCTTCGGTTTCCCATCTCTACAGAAGGTCTTGCTATGCGGGGAACAATGACAATGTTTAAGACACCTCATCAAGGTAGATCTCGTCTTCTTGCAGAACGTATCAGGAAATTTCTGTTAAAGCAGTCCCTGAGGTTTCATCTTTAGAATGTTTGCCTTTTGAACTTTAGTCTTAAATGGAAACGAAAGAAATGTGCCCTCTTAATTTGGTTCTGTGGAGTTAGTTAGACATGAGACTCAATACAATTAACTGGATTGAAAATTGTGATGTCTCCAAGAAATCCTTGGTCATTCAAAAGAAGTTATTAGTATTTCATATGTACCTACACCTAACTGCTCCCATCAGAAAATTAGGGGACAGAACCAGCAGCATATCGACAAGTACAAAGAGAGCCCTGAGAAGATCATGAATAGAAGAGTTACCAGAGTAGAGGGTTGGGCCAGTAAAAGTCAGTCTTCAGAGAAAGTGAAAGTCAGAGGCTCACACACAGAAGCAGACAGGGAGGAAATCCTTCCAAGCTCCCAGGAGAGCCTATTCAAAGGCATGGGAGTGGAAAAGCAGAAGTTAGATGCCAGGGGGTTGGGGGGGGTAGCAAGCACAGAGATGGTAGCATGCATCAGTATTTGCTAGCGAGGCCACTCTGGAATGGGGAAAGCGTGACCCAATGGTAAACTCCGCACGCAATGCACAGGACTTGGCTATGACAAGAAGTGCCTATAGTTCTTTAGTGAGAGGTATCTGGATAAAAATAGTGCTTATCAAGCATTATTCTAGAGTTTAGAATAGAAAAACCAACTGAAAAATTCCAACAGAAAAAAAAATCACAAAGCTCCTTACAACATTTTTCTGCTAATTTGTAACAGCAAAGACTTCTCCATTGGGTGGGCTGTATCGAGACCTACACTGTAAAGAGTAGAAAGGGACCATGACCAGAAGTTCACGGCGTTCTCCCTAGGTTGCCATTAGGGCATAGACTATAGAACTATGTTATCCTCATTCACCTTATTTATTTTGTCCCTGGTCTTAGTGTCTCATTTTTGCTTTAAACGCAACACAGTAGCTATTTCCTAAAAGCAGGCAATTCCATGCAGCATAACTGGGTAGACAGAAGAAAGAAAATAACCTGTTCTTTGGGGGACATTCAAGGGAGGAAAATAATGAAATGTCACCATTGGCCCGACTTTGTAGAAAGGATATAGCTCAATTTTCAATGACATGGCCACCCGCCCGTGTATCGTGTAGCTTCTGAGGCCTCACCAAATCTCCTAACTAAACTAGGCTATTCTAGTTCCTTTGTTATGTTACAGAAGTGTGTGTCCATGTATTTCTCTGTCCTGAAAGCAGAGACTGGGAAAAAAGCGTGATAAAACACAGTCCTACATTTTCTATGGCAGGAGAAGGAACCCAGTAAACACAAACATAGCAGAGCACTTCCTTTTGTTGACAACCTGATGATTTCCCCTTAATGCATTGTTTAGAATAGCAATTACGCGTTGTTTCCCATTATCCTACAAACAGAACCACCGGCACGCAGCTGTCGCTCTTCCGTCCAACAACCAATCATGGAGAATCTAGAAAGGATTCACGTGCTGGTGAGACCTGTCAAGATGGACAGCCCAGAGCCCAAGAGCGGAACAGGTGCGTGGCTGGGCAGCTGGGGGCGAATCACCCCTCCACCTTCTCATTTCTGTCTTCCCGGCTCTTCTCCCCCCCTTCCAGTGCTTCCCTCTGGGTTGGGAGGGAGAGCAGCTTTGGAAGAACCTTCTTTTTCATCCCATTTCCTCCTGCCAGAGAAGACTGGCTCGCTCTCAAGACTGCAAGCATTTGACCATGGCACACAGCAGTGAGCATATCAACTCATTTTATTCCCATCCCTCGCTAGGGAATCGGAAAGCCAAGGGCACACTGGTGATTTCCCTGGTTTTATGGCTTCTCTATTCCCCCCAGGCCTGCAACACATTTTTGGTGCTTGTGTTCCCAGTGTCCTGGCATCTGCAGTGTGGCAAACCCGAACTGAGAGCCAACAGCCCCAGAGCTTCTCCCTATTAAAATGTGTTGGATTTCACATGCGTGTTTCAAACACCATTCGAGGCATGATTTACAGGCTACTGTCTAGCCCCACAGCTGTTTCTTCATCCCCCAGACTTAGTCTTTTCTAGGAATCCACCACTCAGCTCCCTAGCAAATAGTCCTCCCAGTTTCAACCCCTTCAGTCATTCTTGGGCATCCAAAACTAAGCGAGACCTACTGTAAGGGCTTATTGAACGAATAAACCATGATTCTGTCCACGGGATTATTCATTCATGAGAACAGCCCATTTGAGGCCTTCTTTCTGTTTACCCACCTTCTAATCAAGTTTTTTTTTTCCATCAAATTAAACCAATCACTACTGACCCATTGATAAAGGTTATTTATATACATTAAAAACAGCACAAGTCCAAGGACTTCTATGTGGGCTTCACTAAATAGTTGCCACCCAGGGCTTTCGCAGTTCCTGTGTTCTTTCTATAGAAAGGAACAGAAAACACTTTTATATATTGCAAATTATCTTCCTGTGGTTGACTAAAGACAGACTGTGTTCGGCAGAGAGTTAGCATCCTACTATCATCTCTCCGTGACCACCTACCCCAAGGTCCCAACCCTCGTCTCACTTCCAAGACTCTGAAATCACCCCTGAAAAGGTTAGACCTCAGGCTTAGGGTTTTGGTTGGTTCAAACCCGTGGTGACAGCATCTTCTAAATATTTGGTTTTAAGCTGTTGGAGGACCAGAAAGGTACTGTATTCATTTATGATTCTTCTGTACAGAGCACAGCTCTTGGCAGAGTATGGACGCAGGTCAAGTGAGTGGTCGGTAGGATTCCCCTGCCCTGTGACTGAGGCCCACCTTTCAAGGGAGGAAGGCAAAGGGAAAAAAAAAAAAAAAGGCATGACACTGACAGAAACGTCCCAGGAAAAGCCCTTGTTGGAATTGGTGTTGCATACATCAATTTCACCCAAATGGCTCTGGAGATGTAGCTCCCATTTCAAAAGAAAGCAATTAATTAAAAATCATGTGAATTAAGATGTTACAGTTCACATCAAATGACATTTTGCCCTTTGTTGCACTATACCCATCTTTTCCAATGAACAGCATCTCTTCTGCATAGGCTCCCGGCCCGCCACCCCCCAGCTCCGAGACTCGAAGTCTTCCCAGAAAACAACACGCACCCAGCCTCCTCCTACACTTTGAACTACTACACAACAGTTGAGGAGATTCACTTCGTTACAAGCCACAGTCCAAAGAACAAGCCTTCCTTGTTAAGCCAAAGTCCTTTAAGACAGGAATACCGGTAAGGAGCCCTGGGGTTTACCATAGCATTTGATGGCTGGAAAGGCGAGGCCACCAAGTTCCCTAACTCAGTAAAGGCAGCTTTAGCCTCGGGACTCGCCTTCTCTTCTCCTCCCACAGCTGTTTCTTTGCAGACCTCACGAAGGAAGATTACTCATTTACTCTTTGGATAATCTCATAATGTTGACATGCTGAGCTGTCAGATCTTCAGGTTACCTGAAGAGGCTCTCTTTTTAAACCCTTGCATTAAAAATAACCCCCAATTCACACTTGTCATCAATGGCGCCCAAGGCCAAAACTGCAAAGGATGAGAATAGCAGCAATAAAATGACCATTCATTCAATACCCACCATGTGTCAGATGTTGTGCTGGGCATTTAACATGTGCGCCTTTACTCCTTACTCTCTCAAGATAGTCAGTGGAGATAGCCTCGTTATCCAACTCTACATGAGTGTGGAAGCCACGACTGTCCGGGAAAACACAACTGGCACTGAGAGAAGTCAGACTCAAAGCCAATCCTCTGTTGCCAAGAGCCCACGAACTTTCCTTCCAGTCCACTAAGGTCCTCCCGAGAACAGAACAGTAGACCTTGGGAACACTGCGTTCCCAGGCTGGGAAGAACTCGAGCTGGTAGGAGATGTCTGGTTACTGGAGGGGCAGGGAAGGGAGATTCCCAAGAACCTGCACGCTTCCTCCTGTCCTAATACCTGATTCTGCAATCCCCCGAGGTGAGCTGAGCAGTCAACACACTTCTGCTTCTTGGTCTGGTCAAAACAATAAGCTGTCCTCTGGCTCACTGAGTCACACCTGCAACCTCCCCCCAACCCCACAGCTTTGGGTACACTGTCAGCAAGGAGACCCCTCCATGGCTTTCTGTATTTCTGAAGCTCCAAACCTCGGCCGTTAAACCCTCTTCCCAGCTGTCGCTTCCTCAACATCCTTTGGCTATCAGAAATCACGACACAACCCCTAAATTGCGACAGAATCAGACAGACTTGCCACACCCGTTCCCCGCCCCCCTTCCCTCTCCTCCTCTGAATTCTGTGTAGCGTAGTGTGGCCCCCCCCAGACTCTTCACGGCACAGGTCTTTTTGTTTTTCGGGTTTTTTGTTGTTGTTGTTGTTGTTGTTTTTTAGAACAACACAGGCTATAAATAAGTAATTAAGTAAACAAAGAAATAAATCTGCCTGGTATCACATCCACTTTCTCGCTCACAACCACACGAAAGACTCCAACACTAGTGCATGCACAGAGTGCTCTTTCCATAAGCAATGCTCACATGAGTCCAGACTGACGTTTTGGCCACGGCACCAGGCACTCACCAAGGGCACCTCACCTTCCCACTCCAATTTCTATACTGTTTCAACCTTCCCACGTTTCTTCCTTCACTTGAACCATCATGGTTTTATATTAGATTTTCCTCCAGAAAGAATGACTGGCAATTAATCCCAGCGGCCCGTCCCCGTCCCCCCCACCCCCCAACACTGGGTGGTTAGCTAGGACTCCGAAGCCCCTTATTACCATTAGAGTCTTCCACTTCTTCGGCTGGGGTAGTTTTCTGGGAGGAGTGGTGAGCGTGTGAGGAGAGCAGACTGACAATCCGTGGCCTGGGGAGGGTCAGGGCTTTTCCGTGGACCTTGAGGGAGTGTTCCTTCAACTGGCTGATTGTCATGGTGGAAAAGGAGCACCAAGAACACTTGTAGGCATGTTCACCTGGAAAAAGATGGCGGTAAGGGGCAGAACAGGAAAAAGAGGGAAGGGTATAAGGTGGGGTAGAAAACAGAATTGGCATAGTTAATTCAAGCGAGGGAAATGTCTCTGAAGCTTCATGGTCTAAGAAGCCTCACAGACAAATTACCCGCCCCTTCCCACAACCACAATGCTCCTCTGGGATTGAAACTCTTCGATGAGCTCCATAATCAAGTGACCTGGTCCCTTTTCATTTCATGCTCTACTTACAGGGACGAGCCCATGGATTGACTCCCCAACAGGGAGTGAAACCAAATGTCTACGATCCCTCCTTCAGGAAGGTTTCCCAGTCTCTCATTCTCTCTCTCTCCACTAGAAATGACCATGTCAGCTTTCATTCAAGGATATTTTTTATCATCTGCAGAATATAATATACTTAATTCTTATTCCAAGGGCCTATCAGTGGCTTTCCAAGCACAGGGTAACTAAGTGCAAACTCTATTGTGCTATTTTCATTCTTTACTTCTTTGCTGACTATGCACCTCCTCGATTCCACACATCCTCGTTTGTTTTTTTTACCAGTTCACAAACCTCAGCATAAAACTCCATGCCCCTACCTAATCAATAGGGAAGAAATGGGTAAAAATAAGTCATTCTTTTTTTTTAACTAAGAGAAAGAGAGTTGTATATGTATAAGCACATGTGTGTATTTCCAATATTCTTTGATAAACAGGACATTTCAGTAAAAGTAGGCACTTTTATTTTAATTATTTTTATACCACAGAAACAGTGACCAAATGAGACTATGGTTCACCTTTGCTCTAAGTCAGCTTTTAAATTAAGTGCATTTTAAAAGGCCAGGCTGTGAAATGGGCATGCTTATGTTGTTGGACAAACACTGGTTTGACTGACTCAGAAAGCAGTTTTGCTTTTTCTAACATTAGGCTTTGAATGCTCATGCTTGCAGCTCAATATAGGTACTGCTCAGGGTTGATATTAAGAAAATATCCTTGGGCGCCTGGGTGGCTCAGTC